GAGGAGGAGGAGGAGGAGGAGGAGGAGGAGGAGTTAGGAGGAGGAGGAGGAGGAGGAGGAGGAGGCGGAGGAGGAGGAGGAGGTGGAGGGGATTGCAAAATACGTGCGTCTCCGAAGGCACCTAGAGCTGTTCTCCAGGGATCACCTGGCCCTAGTTTGATCAACCCCCTCAGGGCCGACCGGCCCTGAGGGGGGGAGGCTGCGATCATGGATCTCTCCAGCCACCAGGAGCCAGAAACCAGTTGGGAGGGCGAAAAGGCCGCGTGACCGTTTGCACTTCCCAAGGCGGTTACGCCTGGGGTGTTGTTCGGAGTCTTTTGAAGCCCTGCCGGGAGCCGATCGATGCCTGGAAGAGGCAGCGGCATCGCGCTGCCATGGAGCAGTTCCCCAGCTTGGACCCGCAGTATGCGAGATGGAGAATCGGCAGCCTTGTCGACGTTACGGGGCCAGACCTGGCTTCTCTAGCGGCTCACACAGCGCGGACCTCTAGGTTCTGGGAGGCCCAAGAAAGCGAGCTCCGTGGTGGGGTTAAGTCGGGCATGTGCCTCTACAGGAGGAGCACTTTAAGATAGTCAGAAAATAGTATGGGGACTATTTTTCTACTAGGCTTGATCATTTGGGGACATGTTTAAAACTATTTTTTGTTCGTCCAAAAGCCGCCTGTAGGGGGACATGCCCGACCCAATGCTGGGGGCGGGTTCATTGGCGGGTGGGGCCGCTCGGGGCTTCTGGCCAGATCTGGACTGCCCCAGGAGATGCTCCAAGCACGGGCGCTCCGGGCGGAGCGCCTCGCAGCGCCGCGTCGCCAGGGCGAGCGAATCGGCGGAGGGCTCGGATTTTCGGGCCTCCAAGAGCTGGAGGCTCCCTGCTTCTCGGAGGGAGGAGAAGCGACACCAACACCAACAGGGGGCCACCTCCAGCGAGGAGGTCCACGAGGCCTCCCCGAGCTGGAGGCTGGGGATGTCTCGAGCGAGAGGGGGGGACCACACCACCAGGGAGACCCCCCTTGCCTCCTCGCATCTCCTCGCCCTGTTGGTGTTGGTGTCGCCTTTCCTTGTCCCTATGCTTCCTGGTCGGTCCTGCCTGCTTCCGCTTCGCGCGGCATCGGCGCACGGGCCGGCTCCAGCGGAGCGATATGCGAAGAGCGGGGAGGGGGGGAGCGGGGCGCGCCGGGGAGGGGATCGGGCCTCCGGGGCTGCCAAGGGCGCGACGGCGCAGCTCCTCCTCCTCCTCCTCCTCCTCCTCCTCCTCCTCCTCCTCCTCCTCCTCCTCCTCAGGGGGGGGGGGCTTCGACGGGATTCGACATGCATCCAGGGCGTAACAACCGCCCCTGCCTGGGTTTACGAGGCGCTGTGCGCTGAACCTCCTGTGGGCCGGCTGGGTAATATCCAAGTCCTGCGTCTCGCGCGTGTCGCGCGGCGTCCTCGCGGCCATCTGGCCTTTTGGGGCGCCCAGGATGTTGATCGGCCGCGCAATTGTAATCAACCCAGGGTCGGGGGCGCTTTGCCATCCCTGAGATGCAGCCAAGACGCTGACACAAGCACCGCCTCGGGCCCAGGAGGGTCTCTGGTCTGCGGGCCGCTCCTTTCAGATCTACAATGCCAACCCATGCCAAAGATGCACCCCGCTTGCCTCCAGGGTGCCCTGGTTTTCGTTGGGGCTTCCATGGCTTCCTGTGGAGAACGTGGCGCTCCCGCCCCAAAAGTCCATCGACGGCCTGGGGTCTCAGGGTTGGGCTTCTTGTGACAGAGCTCAGGGGGGGAGGAGGAGGAGGAGGAGGAGGAGGAGGAGGAGGAGGAGGAGGAGGAGGAGGAGGAGGACCCCCTGTGGGCTCAGGAGGGGCTCGTGGTCGAGCTCCCACCGTACAGCCGAGACGCCGAGACAGGGACCGCCTCGGGCCCCGGAGGGGCCCCGGTTCCCCGGGCCGCTCCTCTGCGGATCTGCGCCGGGGGGGGGGCCTGCCCTCGTGGCTGGGGCCCGTCGCGTCCGCGGGAGCGCTTGCGTGTCGCTCCTTGTCGTGCAGCGGTCCTTCTGGCCGCACGAGGGCGGTTCTCACCACCCACCAAACCACCCCAACCCAACCCGAAGGCTCAGATTTACCCTCGATTTCCAGTGGTGGGGGGGTCGGGAAACATCGAAGAAACACACGTGGAACCCTTGCCCCCCCAACCCGAAATTCGGGTCTTCGGGTTGGGCTGGGGTGGTCTGGTAGGTAGTCAGGTTCAACCCGATGGGCCACTCTTTCGAGCAGCGGCGCAGCGTCCCGGCTTGCCCACAGGCCCACCATCGGGAGCCTTGAGACGGGGGTCAACGCAAACGGGGGTCAGCCAGAGCGCCCCGACCTTGCAGGATCCTGCAGGGCCAGGGTCGCATTGACCCGGGTTTGGGTGCAGGATCCTGCAGGATCTTGCAGGATCCTTCGCATTGACCCGGGTTTGGGTGCAGGATCTTGCAGGATCTTGCAGGATTCTGCAAGGCCTGACTGACCCGGGTCTGGATTGACCCGGGTCAGAGGACCCCCGGCACCAGAGAATTGTTCTGGGAACCTCCCGTGGTCTGCACGGAATGTCCTCAGAGCGCTGCTGGCTGAGGCTGTCACCCGGCTCTGCGCTCTAAGAACAGTGTCTTTTGCATTCGAATCTTCCGGTTATAAGAACATGTCGTGCTAGGCCGACAGGCGTGCTGGGACGGTCCGTCCCCGGTCAAATTCTTGGACGGGACCACACGTGGCCCGGGGCGGGCACTGCAGTTGACGACGCTCGGCCGAGTTGTTCTCCCACCTGCTGGTGGCGTTTGCGCCAGCCTTCTTTGCGCGCGCTAGCCCCGCACTGTGGCCGAAAGGATGGGCAACCGCCCTCCTAAGACATTGCGGGGGCCCTTCACGTGCAAGCTAAGTCACAGCATGCAGCTGCAGACAGGCGTTTGTGGCTTCCCTCAGACCGCGTACGTTCTTCTGTTGATTCGATCCATGTGCTGCAGCTGAGGGCGCTTGGCGCCAGCTCTTCGCACATGGGCACGCCTGCAGGAGAAGGAGGATAATGAGTAGGAGGAAGAGTAGGACGACGACGATGACGAGAGGTAGGAGGAAAAGGAGAAGGACAAGGAGAATGAGGAGAAGGAGGAGAAGAAGGGCGAGGAGGAGGAGAAAGAGGGCGAGGAGTAGGAGGAGGAGGAGGAGGAGGAGGACGACGAGGACGGCTCTCCCTTCCACTTCCGCGTCGCGGCAGGCGGGGAGGACGAGGAGGAGGACGGAGTGGAGAGAGGCCGAGGGATTGGGCACGGGGGGAGGAAGGAGCAGGAGGAGGTTGCAGGGGGAGGAGGACGAGGGGGAAGACGAGTGGAAGACGAGGTAGGAGGACGAGGTCTCACCCCGTCCCCCGTGTGCGAGGAGCTCCTCAGTTTCGCTGCCGAGCGCGAGGCTGCCGCGCTGGCCCCCCTTCGGACGGCCGACGTGGCTCGACCCCTCCTCACTCGTGCCTCCTGCACCATCGCATTACCCCACCTGCTTCCTCCTCCACTCCTCGGCCTTCCCCTGGTCCCCCAGCTCCTCGCACTCCTTCCACTCAAGTTTCTGCTGCTGCTGCTGCTGCTGCTGCTGCTGTTCGTCCTCGTCCTTATATCCTTCCTCATCCTCAGCCTTTTCCTCCTGCTGGTCCTCCTGCTCACCCGCCTCCTCCGCCTCCTCCTCCTCCCCCCATGAACGCAGCTACCCTTTCCGATTGCGCATAACCCGATGGGGCCTTTTGCGGAGTCGCAGGTCGGTTAGGACACGCGGCCACGGATAGAGACAACATCAAAGCAATGAGAAGGGATGTGAGGGAGAGATAGAATGTCAGATACGGCGCGAGCGCACTTAGCTGGTCCGTCTTCCTCTCTCCTTCCTCCTCCTCCTCCTCCCTCCTCCTCCTCCTCTTCCCTCCTCCTCCCCTCTTTTGACGGCCCCGAGGCGCGGCGAGGGCTCCCGGAAGCTGCAACCAGCAAAACACCGTCCGTCGCATCGGTTTTTCAGACGCATGCATGCCTGGGCTCGCGAATATCCACCTCAAGGAATTTCGAGGACCCCCTCCTTCAGGAGTCGTTCCCCTGGGACCCGACGATGCAAAACATGCAACACCGCGCATCATCGACCCGAGCCCCAGACCCTTCGTTCTGCGGTGCTTCTCGAGCCGGATCGATCCGGCGGTTCTTTCCGAGTCGGTAGTCGACGGTCCAGGGCCTTTCAAGATGCCAGCCATCTCAGGATGTTGACGTAAAGTTGTTCGGCGCAACGACAGAAAAGCTGTAAAGTGATGTTGGCTTCTGGCAGGTCGTTCGATATTGTAAACTCAATCTGCGCATTGCGCCCGATCTCTTGGCACCAGAGAGCTCTGTAGCTGCCCTGAGTCTCGGGATCAAGACGATCACCCACACACAAGTCAACCTGTTGCGTCCACGTGTGGCGTCCAACACACGGGTAGCAGAGCAGTCTAGCAGTCTGACTCGATTTCTGGCGCGCTCAAAACCCGGAGGACGAACATAGCGATAACAAATCCGTCGCGGTTGTCATTATTCGATGGCCTTGGGTTCTCGAATCTCGATCTCGTTTTCAGTTGTTGTTTCTCCCTCCCTCTCTCTCACTCTGTCTCTCTCTCTCTCTCTCTCTTTCTCTCTCGCTGCCTCTGCGCGCAAGATGTTGTTTCCATATCATCCATTGCAGCCTGGAGTTCTGGACCCCCTTCCCCAGAAAACCGAGGCGCACTGCATATATATTTATAGGGTAACAAAAAGTGGCATGAGCATAAAAACTCGAAGGTCTGCTCAGATTTCTCGGATCGGCGCTGGACCCGCATCCCTGGCGCGCGGAGCGCGCTAGGGGCGGCGCCGGAGGCGCCGCCGAGGGGCCCCAGCGCCGATCCGAGAAATCCGCGCGGACAGTTTGCGCGCCGCTCCCTCTGCCTCCCATCTCGCGCTCGGCCTCTCTCTCTCTCTCTCACTCTCTCCCTGCCTGGGCGCCCCGCGAGGCGCTGGCCTGCGCGCGCCAGGGCCTGGAGATCGAGCTGGCCGAGGAGCGCCGCGCACGCCGTGGCTCAGAGGCCCCTGGTATTACTGCGAAGGAGGAACGGACGCGGGTTCTCCTCCTCCTCTCTCCTCCTCTCTCCTCCTCCCTCCTCCGCTCTCCTCCTCCTCTCTCTCTCCTCCTCCTCCTCCTCCTCCTCCTCTCTTCTCCTCCTCTCCTCCTCTCTCTCTCCTCCTCTCTCCTCCTCCTCCTCCTCCTCCTCGCTCCCTCCTCCTCCTCCTCCCTCCTCCTCCTCCTCCCTCCTCCTCTCCTCCTCCTCCTCTCCTCCTATCCTCCTCCTCCTCCTCTCTCCTCCTCCTCCTCCTCCTCCTCCTCCTCCTCCTCCTCCTCTCCTCCTCCTCCTCCTCCTCCGCCTCCTCCTCCTCCTCCTCCGCCTCCTCCCTCTCCTCCTTCTCTCTCTCTCCTCTCTCCTCCTCTCTTCTCCTCCTCCTCCTCCTCCTATCCTCCTCCTCTCCTCCTCCTCCTCCTCCTCTCCTCCTCCTCTCCTCCTCCTCCTCCTCCTCCTCCCTCCTCTCCTCCTCCTCCTCCTCCTCTCCTCTCTCTCCTTCCTCCTCCTCCTCCTCCTCCTCCGCCTCCACCTCTTCCGCCTCCTCCTCTGCCTCCTCCTCATCCCCCCCCCCCCTCTTGCTCCGCCTCAATATCCGCCTCTCCCGCCTCCCCATCCGCCTCCTCCGCCTCGTCCTCCTCCTCCGCATCCTCACCTTAGCCGCATTGGCTCAAGATGCAAAGTTCTCAGGTGAAACAAGTGGATACCGCCGTTCCGCGGTTAGACCCCAAGGTTACACCCTCTCGATCCCTTCAGCAAGCTGCCATGCGGCTCAGGGATAATTTCGCACCCACGGTCCGACCACTGCACTTGCCGTCTCGGGTAAACAGAGGTGTGTCCTATTCCGGCGTCGGAGTAGTGCCAACATCATGCCTAAGAGGGAGAGCAAGAAGACGGCTGGTAAGGGCAAGGCATCGGTAACAGATGATGCCCAAGTCGACGTCCGAGATGAAAGGGAGCAGAGGGCGTTGTCCAGAGATCGCGAGTTTACAGCGCGATGGCTAGACGCACTGGCCCATCTTAAGTCGAAAGCTGCTAAATGTAATGCCATCCCGCTTGGCAAATCTCAAGATGAAGCTGCATTACCCACATGGCTCGCTGTGTTAGCTAGCACCAGCTCCGATTGGACCGCGTTCAAGAGCGTGAGAGTCCCCATCCAGAAGCCCCGTTCCCGAACCATTCAGATTGCGGGGCCTGGCGGCCACGGTGGGAGTGGTGTAGAGCTGTTTTTGAAAATGGCCCTCGCGCTCCCATCCTATAGGAGTCAGCTGTTTCTCCCTTTTTTATGCCGAAGTGGTTACAGAGAGATGTTTGTTCGCGGGGCCCTGGCATGCTCACCTCTCGGACGCAATGTGTGCTCCACGCGGGGTCCCCAGCCCCCTTCGGGTCATGAAACAATCGCGGCGGACGTTTTCCCCACCCGACAGGTAGGGGCCGTCAGATGTTAAGAAGAAGCCTCCCGACCCGCACACCATGCACGCCGCGGCCGCCAGATCCCCAGGTCCACGAAGAGTCCCCGAGCCCGAGATTCCTGTCCCTCCTGGCTCGACCGGCCACCAAGAGTACCCCCAGATTCCCACCCCTGCAGACCCAACTCGCCCACTCTGCATACCGCGGCCGCCCTGTGAGCATGGCAGAACATGGCCAATAGCACAGAGCATAGCAGACATCAGCATGACAGAGCATATCATGAACTTCTTAGCACGACATGCCAGAACAGATCATGGCATAGCACGTCAATAACATAACATGGCGTAGCCTAGCATAACATACCATGATATGACAGAGCGGGGCATACAAAGCACTGCATAAGTTTAAACAGCGTAGCAGAACGGTGCAGAGCATACCTCAACGTAACAAATCCGCTAGCATCACAGCATGACAACACAAGCCCTAATCGAACACAGCGTCACATTCCAGGGCATACAGTAGCATGACAGCACGTGCGATGAAAGAACACGACGTATCATGGAATGACACAAACATAACGTAGCGAGACATATCCCAACATTGCATGGCATACCATAGCATAACATCGCACCTCATCAGCCATACCATAGCATAGCAAATTCTTACATACCGCAAGTGAGCATATTACAGTATGTCATGGCAGGTTTAAGCATACCATACCAGACTTATTGTGTTATGGCTACCGCGACGGCAGCGACTGGTATCGGAGATATTAGGCTGCAGGCTAGTGAGGAACAGCATGACAAGACGTTACATAGCATGATCTAACAAGCAGGGCACAACGTCACCAGCACAACATACCAGAATTGCCGCATTACTGCAACAACAACGGGAGCACATATGATATGACATCCTGGAATCTACCATGCCTGGACACCATTTCATAGACTGAACACGGCACACCATGACTGACTAAATTATCCCAGTGCGACCTTACCTAGGAGTTGGAGCATTTAGGAAAGCAACATCTACATCTACACCGACAGCTACATGTACATCTACACCTGCATCTACATCTACATCAACATCAACAGCGAGACTCACATCTACATCTACAGCTACACCTACATCTACACCTACATCTACATCTACACCTACATCCACATCTACACCTACATATACATCTACATCTACAATTTCGCATTGGTTTTGCTTTTGCTTTGCATTGCCTTTGCTTTTGCTCTTGCCTTTGCTTTTGCCTCTGCCGTTGCTTTTGCTTTTGCTTTTGCTGTTGCTTTTGCTTTGCTTGTGTTGTTGTTTTTGCTTGATGTTGTGTTTACTTTGCCTGCGTACAGACACACACACACGCATGTTTTCGCATTCGCTTACCGGGTGTGCTTGAGAATGCTCCGTGTCCGGTCTACACCGCACGATTTGGCATTGAGCAAGGTTGTGCAACACTTGTTACACCGAACGTTCCTACGAAATTGTACAGCAGCAGCATTTCCCAGATCGGTGCATCATCGGCGCTGGAATATGCGGTTTCACCAGAGTGGTGTGACCACAACCTTCCCGCTGTCGTGGAGTCGCCGATGCTATGCTATGCTGTGCTGCGCTATGCTAGGCTAGGCTATGCTATGATATGCTATGCTGCGCTATGCTATGCTATGCGATGCGACGCTATGCTGCGCTATTCTATGCTACGCGATGCAATAATGTGCAATGCTAAGCAATGTTATGCCATGATATGCTATGGGATGCTGCGCTATGCTATACTATACTATGCTATGCCAGGCTAAGCTACGCGATGCGATGCGATGCGATGCGATGCTTGGCTATGTTATGCTGTGATAATGCTGCGTTGCGCTATGCTGCGCTAAGATAAGCTATGGTAAGCTAAGCTATCCTAAGCTATGATAGGCTAGGCTAAGCTAGGCAAAGCTAAGCTAAGCTAAGCTAAGCTAAGATGATATAAGCTAAGCTAAACTACGCTAGGCTAGGCAAAGCTAAGCTAAGCTACGCTACGCTAAGCTATCGCGAGATAAGCTTAGCTAAGCTAAGCTAAGCTTAGCAAAGCTCAGCGGGGTGAACCCAGCGGGCGCAAGTGGGGGAACCGCGGGGCGGATACTGGGGGAACCGCCTGGGGCGCTTTCCACTGCCCGGCCCCTTTAAACCCAGAGAGTAAGAACCCTTCTAGGCAGAGCCTAGGAAGGGAACAAGCCATATCGAACACCGCATTACGGAACAGAGCATAACATAGGAGCTAACCATCGCATAACAATGCATCGCATGACATAGTTGACCATAACATAGTATCCAGTTGCCAGATGACCAAGTGAGTCACCATTGCAGAGTGACGTCATGATATTATCGACCGCACCTTCGTACCATCAAGCGCGACGTGCGCACCGATGTCGGGCTGGTCGCAGAAACAAGTACACAGGCGCAGCACCGACCGAGTGGAAATGTATTTAGCGTGACATGCGCCACGACGTCGCGCCGGCTTGTTGGGAGCACGACTTAGCAGAATACTGCATCACATACTAGCGCGTGATAGGAGATAGATGAGTTGAATCTTGTTCGATACAGCAACCATCTCTTCATTGCGGCCTGTCAAACACAGCATTAATGCCGACGCAAGGCTGGGCCACAGGACAAAAACAGGCGTAGCAAAGACCGGTCAGACAACGTATCAAACGTGACAGGCGTCACGACGCCACGCCGCCCCTTCGAGAGCAGAACAGAAGAAACCAGATGCGCACAGAACAATACAGAAAAGAACACAACGTCACAGAGCAGAAAACAACAGGGGACCGAGCAATGCCGTCCCATCAAAGGCGACATGCGCCCCGAGCCCCCGTTGGCCACAGAAACACAGAAACACACACAGTATTAGCAACAACCGATTCGACGCAACTTCAGACGTGACAAGCGTCACGACGGCACGACGGCCCGTCCAGAACATGGCATTACACAACATAATGCCCTGTAGTTCACCGGGGCGGGTTCCAAGCGAACAGAACATAGCACAATATATCGTATCAGCCACCGATTCACGGCATTTTGCCAAGCGAACCATCGTGCATTTTACCATGATCGAGTGAACCACCATTGAGAAGGAGATCCTAACATAATAGAGCGTACCATGCGTTTTCATACGCGACGTGTGCGCCGAGTTCAAGGTGGCCACAGGAGCAGTCGCAGCGACGACGGATTGGACGACAGACCTAACGTGACAGGCGTTCTGACGTCACGACGGCCCGTCGAGAATGTTAACACAAAATAGCACAAAACAGTATAACGCACCAAAATTTGATGGAATCTAACATAGCTCAAGACTCTGACAGACAGCATCGTGAAATGAATGTCGCCCTGTCACGGTCAGAACGTGATAGAGTAGTACGCAAGAGCGACCGAATGATGGCCTCTCGTCGAACGCGACATGCGCGCCGAGCTCAGGCTGGCCACAATTTCAAACAGCACCAGACTCAGGGACGAACGCCGAAGGTTTCGGTGTGGATCGCCCGAGGCAGAGCGACTGTCCTTTTTCAGCCTTTGGGGGCCCCCGCTGATCCATGGGACCGTCGAGCATGACTCAGAAGGAAAAGCTGGTCCAAGGCAAGGGATCGAGGCCTCTGGGGGTCGACGCAGGGTTCTCTGGTCCGTAGACTCGCTAATTGTGTCTTCGCGAACGGCGATGTATGAGAATCAATTGTAGGAAAGCATGGTTCGTGGCCAAGCCAATTGCAGGAACGCGTGGTTCGTGCTTTCCTACAAATCGCTGTGTCGCTCTCGTTCGATACATTCGCACATCTGACATGCAGTCAGCGGTGCTTAATGAGATTCCCTACATTCTGCTCTGCGTGAGCTCGGCGTCGCAAAAACCATATTCCCAACATCGCCGTTGACCAACATCGGCGTTAACGTGACCTCGGCTGGTCATGAGCACGAGGCCCCCAGCGTTCTCTTCTCAGGAGGGGAAACACCACACAGACACGATTCATCGTCGACTCCCAGGAAAATATGGGAAGCGCGGGGGAAGACGAACATCCAGAAAACATCGGAAAACATGGGGACGCCTGGGATTTGTGTGTGTATTGATTTGTGCGTCCCTGGGCCCCTTGATCTTCACCTTCCCCGGGACCGGCCTCTGGCCGCGAGGCGCCCTCCGACCGTCCCTCGGGGCCCGGCGAGGGGCTCTTGGGAGTCCCGAAGCGGCGGGACAAGCCCGCCGCGTTTTTTGTCAAGACGCCGGATGCTCGAGGGCGTGCGAGGTGATGATCAGCATCATCATCACCATCCTCATCATCACCACCATCCTCATCACCATCATCATCACCACCATCATCGTCGTCACCATCAGCAGCATCAACATCATCATCCTCATCACCATCATCATCACCACCATCATCGTCGTCACCATCAGAGCATCACATCATCATCAGCATCAGCATCATCATCATCAATCATCCAGCATCATCACCATCATTTATCATCATCCTCACACATCATCATCATCGTCATCATCAATCATCACCATCATCATCATCATCGCATCCTCAGTCATCATCATCACCACCCCCCAAAAAACCATTTTTCCCCCCCTTCATCATCATCATCATCATGATCATGATCATCATCATCATCACCACCATCATCGTCGTCACCATCAGCAGCATCAACATCATCATCCTCATCACCATCATCATCACCACCATCATCGTCGTCACCATCAGCAGCATCAACATCATCATCAGCATCAGCATCATCATCATCATCATCAGCATCATCACCATCATTATCATCATCATCATCACCATCATCATCATCGTCATCATCATCATCACCATCATCATCATCATCGTCATCATCGTCATCATCATCACCACCATCATCATCATCATCATCATCATCATCATCATGATCATGAGCATCATCATCGAGGGGAGGCGGCGCAGGAGTTCGCTTCGCCTCCCCCGGGGCCGGCTTCTCGCCTCGAGCCGTTCGCCGACCGTCACGAGTCGGCCTGGCGACGGGCTCTATTAGAGTCCAGAAGCTGGCGAGACAGGTCGCCGCTTTTGTTTTTCAAGACACCTCCTTCGTGCCCACCTGCTTCTCCCTCCAGGGGGAGGAGGAAGAGGAGGAGGAAGGGGAGAGGAAGAAGAGGAGGAAGGGGAGAAGAAGGAGGAGAAGGAGGAGGAGGAGGAGGAGAAGGAGGAGAAGGAGGAGGAGGAGCAGGAGGAGCAGGAGGAGGAGGAGGGGAGAAGGAGGAGGGGGGGAAGGAGGAGAAGTAGGAGGAGGGGGAGGAGGAGGAGGAGGAGGAGGAGGAGGAGGAGGCGGAGGATGTTCGAGGGCCTGCGAAGGGGGAGGGGAGGCGGCGCAGGAGGAGGGCGTGCCCGCAGGCCGCCAGCACGCTGGTGAGCCCTCAGCTGTCCCTGGCGCACGCGGAGGCCCCGGTCGACAGCGGGCAGTCCTCGACCCTGCGCGACCTGCTGCTGCCCCCGATGGCGCTCACGCGCGGCGAACCGTCAGATCCGGGCGTTGATGGCCCTGTTTTCCACCACCACCACCACCATAAGTTGGAGGGGGGAAGGAGGTGGAGGACGAGGAGGAGGAGGTCAAGGAGGAGGAGGAGGAGGAGGAGGAGGAGGAGGAGGAGGAGGAGGACACCCTCCCTCTCCAACTGATGGTGGTGGTGGGTGGTGGTGGAAAACAGGCCCATCAGGCACACCGGGCCTGATTCGGGCCGCGGGCCCCTCTCGGATCGATCTAGCCTGTAGAATGCCGCAGAGAGATGAAGTCCAGGGCTCGAGTCAAGTTATGCTCATGGTGTTGTAGTTCTTTTGTGGCGTCGGGTGTCAGGGAACGTATCCATATCCACGCCCTCGCGGTTTGAATCTCAGGGCGCGATCCCGTGGGTGCGCGGACGCATGGGCGTATACACTCCGTGCGTGGCACCCCCGACAACGAGCGCCCCGCGTCCACGTGGCCGCGGCCCGCGAGGCCCCGGTCCGCGTGGCCGTGGATATGGACATGCCCTCTGCCCACGACTTTCCCAGTGGTCGTTTCGTGGAGCATTTCGAGGAGTGTTTTCTGAAATGTCTTGGGGTATTTCGAAGGGTTTCTCAGGGCTTAGTTGCCTCGATACGCCCGTTTTGATACGCAATGCGTCCCGTGTTCAAGACGTCCGTGTCAATACGCTGAGTGTTGCTCCACGTATTGGACCACGTTTTGGCGAGTGTGTCGCGTCGGACTTACGTTTTCAGCCAACGTGTGGAGCTCCGTGTCAATACGCTACGTGTTGCGCGTTGCGTATCGGGGCAGCTAAGCTGCAGGGTGTCTCGTGCCGAGTTTTTCATGGGAGGGCCGGGCCCTCGAGGTCTGCTCGGGGGCCTCGGGGTCTCCGTGCCGGCACTCGGGCCTGCTGGCCGGCCACTCGGGACGCCGCGGGCCCCCCTTGCAGAGCGCCCTCGGCGAGGCGCAGCCGCTGGAGCGCACCCCCGGGACCCCCGACGTCCTGATCTTGGAACGGCGTCGACCTCCAGAGGTCCCGACTCCCTCCCCCAGGACCGGCGAGTCATCCCGAGCCCCGCCTCGACGGCCCCCGTCCCCCCCTCGAGGGCCCCCGGAGGCCGAAGAGAGCGACAGACGTCCGTCGTGCTCTGTTCACATGGCCCGGTGGGGGGGTCTCTGGGCACTGCCGGGGGCGCCCGACAGCCAACGAGAACCGCCGAGGGGCCCCGCCCGTGGATGCGGACGACGGGCCTGTCGTTCCGCCCCCGAGGCGCGGCGGGGCCTGCTGCTGGACGGCCGCTGCGCCATCGACCGCGACGGGGTGGTGTTCGGCACGGCCGCCGGGAGGGGGGAAGCAAGCGAGGCGCTCCAGGCATGATGCGCAGTCCTCCTCCTCCTCCTCCTCAGACCCCTCCCCCTCCTCCCGCTCCTCTTCCTCCTCCTCCTCCTCCTCCTCCTCCTCCTCCTCCTCCTCCGCGCATCCTCTTCCCCCTCCTCCTCCTCCTCCTCCTCCTCCTCCCGCTCCTCCCGCTCCTCCTCCTCCTCCTCCTCCTTCTCCTCCTGCTCCTCCTCCTTCTCCCCCTCGCTCGTGGCCTCGTTCCACCTCCTCATCCAGCTTCCCTGTGGCGGCCCAGCTTCGTTCGGAGGGGTCGATTATAGTGCATGTCATTGGACAATTCGCACCTCAACTCAGTGTTGCTGTTTACTCCATGTTGTTGGTGGAGCTACCGTGGGTTCCACTTCGGCGACATGTGATCGGGTCTGCCTGCGCTTCAACAAAAAATGAGGCGTTCCAGAAAGGGCCTCCCCTCCAAGACTTCAAGACCATAGAAGTTGCCATCTCTTCCTCCCATGAGATCCTGGTGGCGCAATGTTGCCACAACGGGCGTTGTCGCCGGGTCTCGGGCCCACGGGACCCTCACATATCGATCCGGCTTGAAGCAGGGCGCAGAAAGAGTTTGGCGTTCTGGTCTTAAGTCGGGCCTGTCCCTGTACAGGAGGACTATTCAAACATAGTCAATAAATCATATGGGGACGATTTGTTCACCATTTTCGGACTATTTGGGAGCATGTTCTGACTATGTTTCATTTCTCGTCCAAAACCCGCCTGTAGGGTGACATGCCCGACCTAATGCTGGTCGCGTTGTTCCGCGATGCTGCAGTTTCTTTGCAGCGTCAGACCTCAGGGGCGGCGGAACGGCGCCGGAAGCCGCCGGAAGTAAAACTGGGGTGGTTTCGCTGGAGGAAGCCAGCGGAAGTTGGCGGAAGTAGAATATTCGAGTATAGCCAGGACCCCAGGTGAGGGGACCCGGTTAGTAGTAGGGCCCCAGAGCCTTTTAAATTGGCCAGAATCACTAAATCAGGTCTGCCGTAGTTGGTGCTTTTTCGGGTGACGGCAGTTTCGGTTAGTGGAACGGGGCGGGGGGGGCGTCCTCCAGCACACATCACTAAACCAGGTCCCAATAAACCCAGTTCTGCCAACGCCCGAAAGATGCGCCCTCGAAGAGACGGCATTCTTTTGGGTTCCAGGTTTCCAGAGCGCGCCACGCACGCAAGTCTCCAGCGGTATTCCCTGAACAGCTGGTCCTATAAGGTGCTGTGGCAGCTTTCCGAGAACACAGGTGCGCTGCCGGATGCAGAGTCGGTTCGGCGTCGTGGCCTCCCGTGGCTGCTTCGCGGCTGCACGTTCAATCGTACTCGGAATCGGCGGGGTGTCGTGGCCTCCCACTGCCTCCCGTTGCCAGTAGCAGGTGTATACGCAATCGTTTCAGTGCAGGGGTGCGCCTACGCAGCCTCGTTCCGATGCGTCTTCGTATTATGTTTGATGTTTTTCCTTATTCGCTCAGCATTTGGGATCGTATGCGCATTCGCGCTAGTGTCAGCATCAGTTTGGACAAAAACAGAGGGACTAGCATGTGTAGCTGTAGTGCTCAAAGTGGTCGTCGCAAGAGTAGTAGGAGCAAGAGCCATGAAGTGGTCTGCTTGGCCCCTGTGGACAGTATGCTCAGGGTCTTCTGCCGCAAGGGTGTCATATTTTGTCCGCCCTGGCGAGTTACAGTCAACCCGCATAGCCAGGGTGAGCGACGTTCCAAGGTTACCCTTGCATCTTTCTCCTCCGGCCCATCCTTGGCAGCTTTCGTTGGCCGCGCCCCACTTCGCAAAGTGTCGACATGGCCTTCAAGGCCCTTGCACCCTTCTCGTGCGAGTTTGCTACACGGGCTGACTGTATCTCCCAATCTCGGCAACTACCCCCGGGGTAAGGGGTCGGGAGAATCCCAACAGCCCTTTAGGGCGTAGGTGGTTTAAGGTGCTTCCTCTTCCACCCCCTTCTTCCCCTTCGGGGAGGGATTTACCCCTCCCCCTACCCCCTCCCCTGGACCTGGACGGAGCGTTTCGCGAGCGGTCGGAGCGTCCAAAACGGCCTCGGCGAGGAAGCCAAAATCATTGGTTTGACGAGGGTCGGGAGAGTTGGGGCCGCGGGTTGACGATATCCCACCGCAGGATACTTGGGCAGAGGAAGAAGCGGTGCTGACACTAGCTGCTGCCCGCCCCTCGTTGCCACGGCCGGGTTTTCTCGTCGAGAAGGCCTCTGGCCAGCACGCACCCCCAGATCCGACGCTGCGAGGGAAGTGCAGCATCGCGAAGAATCAGGAGGAGGAGGAGGGGCTGAAGCCTGGACCTGGTCTTGCACCTTGCGAGCCTGATCAGATGGCGGTGACAGGGCCCGAAATTGGTCGACAACGCTGGGTGCGAAAGAACATGCAACACCCGGATCTCAGCCGGGGAGTAGTGGCATGGTCGCTTGCACGTAAGTCTGAAGCTTCGCTGGAGTGACTTCTGATGCGAGCCCACAGGGGTCCCCCCAGCACTGGGCCGCGTGGCTTCGATTTGGCCTCCCAGCGGCCCCCGAAAGCGGCGCAACCTGAGATCCGACGTTGCACAAAAATACAACATCGCGAAAAAACACGGCTGGAGCCCTAGACCCCATCTTTCTGTTGCAATTTCCGAGCTGGGTCGAATTTTGATGGTGCTGGGATCCGAAATTGAGAAAAGCCTGATTGTGTGAACAAATTGCGACGCCCAGACCTTCATGACGCCTGGCCCCTATGAGCCGAAATGTATGTGACCGAAAAGAGGTCGGTGACCAATAACGTTGCCGAAATTGTAGCGCGACCGAAGTTGCAATCGAAATTGAAAATGTAGTTTTGTCTCGAACCACGTCTTCCGGTCATCTCCAGGCGCGTTCGGAAAAGTTCTGGCGCCCGTGTCGGTCACATTGGTGCGGATTTTCGGGCACAATTTCGGTCACTGCACCCCCCCGAGAGAGACGAGGCTGCGTCAAGATCTCAGAGAGGGCCACTCTTGACGAACGATCAACACGCACCCATACCCATAGGGGGGGGCAGAATGAGCTATGAGCTATGCACCCATGGGTGCGTGTTGTCGGATGGGGTCCCCGCTCGAACGGGAGCCTCCCCAGGGGTCCCACAACCCGCAACTGTACCCATAGCCAGTCCTCCTCCCTCCGACCTCCCTATGGGTATGGGTGTGTGTGTGTGTGTGTGTGTGTTGTTCGTTCGTCCACTCCTGCGTGCAGCCGATGTCGGCAGCGGATGTCGTGCGGCCGATGCAAATAACGGCGATGTAGGCGGGAACGCGCGGCTCGTGCTTTCCTACAATTCGCTGTGTTGTTGTCGTCCGATACATCCGCAGACAGGAAAAGTGGGAAAGTGTGTGGTGTGCGATGTCTTACACTTCGGTTTCCAACACCACCGTTAAGCAACATCGCCGTTCGCGTGGCCTTGGGTTCTGCCACCCTCCGCAGGCCAGGGGGAGGGACAGCAATCGGCGATGTGGCGAAGCCCCTACAGACCCATCCATGTCCTCAGGGAGAGGAGGAGGAGGAGGAGGAGGAGGAGGAGGAGGAGGAGGAGGAGGAGGAGGAGGAGGAGGAGGAGGAGGAGGAGGAGGAGGAGGATTGGAGGAGGAGGAGGATTGGAGGAGGAGGAGGAGGAGGAGGAGGAGGAAGGAGGATTGGAGGATGGAGGATGGAGGATTGGAGGATTGGAGGATTGGAGGAGGAGGAGAGGAGGAGGAGGAGGAGAAGAAAGGAGAAGAAAGGAGGAGGAGGAGAAGGATGAGGAGGAGAAGGAGGAGGAGAGGAGGGAGGAGGAGGAGGAGGATTGGAGGAGGAGGGGAGGAGGAGAAGGAGGAGGAGGAGGAGGAGGAGGAGGAGGGAGGAGGAGGGCGTGCAGCCGACGTCGGCCTCGTCCTGCCAGCCCCGCCGCAGGCCGGGGTGCTCGCGGAGCGCCTGGTGCTGGTGGGCGGCTGGACCGGCCTGGGCGCGGAGTGCCTGCGGGGGGTGCAGCAGCTCGAGCCGGGGGCGCCCGAGTTCGCGCCTGGGCCCCAGGCCCGAAGGTGTCGAAGCGTCCTGGCTCGCCTACTAGCCCTACCAAACAATGTTCTAAGAACCTTCTTTGGTTCCCACGACATGCTCTTCGAACATGTCTGGCGGAGTCTGTTTTGTTTTAACACATCGGGCTTATGTTCTAAGAGCATTGATTGTGTTATTAGAAATTCTGGGGGTTCTAAGAACATGTCGTGGTAGGACTATAGAAATGCTGGGATGGTCGGTCCCTGCTCAACACATTGCAGTCGAGCATCGGACACAGGTTAAGTCGGGCCCGTCCCTGTACATGGGGAAAATGCAAACAAGGAGAAAAATAGGCTGGGGACGATGCTTCGACCATTTTTGATAATCGTCTGTGCATTTTTTGACTATTTTTAAATTTGTCGTCCAAAATCCGCCTGTGGGGGGACACGCCCGACCTAAGATTAAGGAGCCTCCTCCTGGAAAGCTGGGCCAGCGCTGCTTCACTCCAGGCCTTCCAGACGCAGACATGATCGCGTCGCAAAAAAAGACCAGGACGGAAACTGTTTGCCAGTGTTCGGCCTCGGGGGGCCCTCGCCAGGCCCCGGGAGCGTCAGAAAGCCACTCAGGATGACAAGCTGGCCCCGAGGAAAGGGTCGGGACTTCCGGGGACGCCGTCCTGAACAAAATCAGGAGCCTGTTCTTTGGGGGATTCAGGCAAGTTTACTTGCATGGCGTTCGCCCCCCCCCCCCCCCCCCCCCCTCGCCCCTCTTCAAGCGAATACTAGCGTGCAAGTGCCTCTCGACTTGCGTGATCTCCGCGCCCCCCGAACGTGCAAGTTGTTTGCGGCTTGCTTCAGGCTCAGCCTCCCCCCCCCCCGTCCATGCAAGTATTCAAGATTTCGTCTCATTTCGGGGGGGGTCTCATTCCGGGGGGGGTCTCATTTCGGGGGGGGTCTCATTTCGGGGGGGGTCTCTTCCGGGCTATCTTGGAGGGCCTGGGGGGTCTGGGGACGATGTTTTGGAGGGTTCTCCCACGGGGGAGGTCTGAAATGGCTTGTCTTGGAGGGTCCAGACCCCCTCCCTTTTATTACGAAATCTGGAGTAAACTTGCCAGAGTCTAAAAAAAAACAGGCTCCAGGACGTCGCACGGGGGATGGGCTCCGAGTGGGTGGGGTCGGAGCGCTGCGCCGCCAGCGCCGAGGCAGGGGCGCTGCGGCGCGACGTGGCGCACGATTTTTTCTCCACGCCGCCGGCGCCGACGTCGCCGACGCGTCGTCGATGCCTCGGCGATGCATCGCCGATGCATCGCCGATGTTTTTAGCTACTTCAGATTTCGTAATAAAGGGAGGGGGGTCTCATTTCGGGGGGGGGTCTCGTCCAAGCTCTCTTGGAGGGCATGGGGGGGTCTGGGGATGATGTTTGGGAGGGTTCTCCCACGGGGGGGGGGTCTGAAATGTCTTGGAGGGTCCAGACCCCCTCCCTTTTATTACGATATCTGGAGTATGCGGCGCGATCCGCTAACCCCATCTAGTCGGACCCCATCTAGGATCTGGGAGGCACAGATTCACCCACTTGCCAGAAGATTGGCCCAGTTTTTCTTGAGCACGTTCGCCCCATGCAGCATTCACAGAAGAGATCGGCCCTGGGGTGTTTCGAGAAGCTTCTGGGAACTTGACCAAGTTCTCTTGAACGATCATTTTAAGTCGGGCCTGTCCCTCTACCGGGGAAATATTCAAAACAATAATAAAGAATAGTACGGGGGCGATGGTTTGATTCTTTTTGACTCTGTTTGACTATTGTTTGAGTATTACGAATAATTGCGTTCAAAATCCGCCTGTAGTGGGACATGCCCGACCTAAGTTTAGAGCTGGCACACCAAACTAGAAAACAGCATGCCAGTAGGTATCCCGCGAGAGTCTCTTGCCTCCCGATGGCCCCGCAGAGACCTGGGCATTTCACGGAGCCCATCGGTGACGAAGGATGTACCCCGACTTCAGCGGATCCCTCCCAGCAAGATTTCGGACGGCGTGCCCCTGAGATCCGACGTTGCCAGACATGCAGCGCCGCAGATAATCACAGCCAGAGCCCCAGACCGCATCTCTCTGCTTCACGTCTCGAGCTGGATCGATCCGTGAGGCCCCCGGGGCCCGAGACCCAGCGAAGACGCCCGGTGTGAGAGGAGTGCAACGCCATGGATCCCACGGGCACCTGCTGCACGGCATGCTCGCGAAGCCCCAGACATCGGGCTGCTCCAATTTGTTCGGTGCGTGGGCCCCCGAGGGTCTGGAGGACCCTTCCCCCGGGGCCGGCTTTTCGTCCTGAGTCGATGTGTCGACGCTCCCGAGGCCCAGCGAGGGCCCCCAGAGGCCGAAACTGGCCAAAAACCGCGGGCCAGTGTTTCGTCCTGAGTCGTTTCTCGACGCTCCCGAGGCCCGGCGAAGGCCCCCAGAGGCCGAACATGGCCAAAATACACCGCCCGCTCCCATTTTTGGCTTTTTGGGGAGCGTCTACAGACACCGCCCGCTCCGAATTTTCTACCTCTGGGGCGGTTCCTTCGCCTCCCAGCTGGCGCAGCCGCGCGCGGGCTGCGCCGCCGTGGAGCTCGACGACGGCCGCCTCCTCGTCGCCGGGGGCTTCAACGCCGCCGGCGCCCTCCGCGGCACGGAGCTGCTGGCCCCCGGCGGGCCGGCCGTGCCCGGGCCGCCGCTGTCGGCGCCCAGGGCGGGCTGCGCGGCGGTGCAGCTGGGCAGCGGCCGCATCCTCGTGGCTGGCGGCTTCGACGAGCACGACAGCCTGGACTCGAGGAAGACCAATCGGAGGAGAAGGATCGCCATAAACCTAACCTTTCGGCGCTCCGCGCGGATTTCTTGGATCCGCGCTGGGCCCCCCCGGCGGCGCCTCCGGCGCCACGCCTGGCGCGCTCCGCGCGCCAGAGAGGGGGGTCCAGCGCGGATCCAAGAAGTCCACTCGGAGCGCCAAGAGTTTTTGTTTATGCCGTTTTTTCTTCGTGTAGTGGTGCAGGCCCAGACCTCCAAACCGTGGTGGAAAACTCGGCACACAGGGTTGTCACCATCTGTGGCCGCTTGGGGGCCCTCGCCGGGCCCCGGGAGCGTCAAAGCACGACTCGGGACGAAAAGCCGGCCCTGGGGTTGGGACATCTTAGAAGAAAGATGCCCCAGCCCCCTCGGGCCATGAAAAGAGCATTGCGGATTTATAGATGTATTTTCTTACATCGATAGATTCTGCTTCCTGGGGCCCTTACCAGGCCTCGGGACCGTCAAAAAATGGCTCGTGATGAAGAGCTGCTCCGAGGGACGGGGGCAGACTTCTGGGGGTGCACGTCGTGAAACATCATCACGTCGGCGGCCCTGGGGATTCCACAACGATGAGCTTCTGGGGTCCGCGCGGACTTCCTGGGACCCGCACAGGGCCCCATGGCGGCGCTTCCAGCGCCGCTCCTGGCGCGATGCGCATGTGGGGGGCGGGCGGGTCCAGCGCCGATCCAAAAGATCCGCGCGGACCCCCGAAGGAGCTGTGGCTCAGCGCGTCGCTCCACGGCTTCTGGCCCACGACGCTCCCACGCGTCACGGCATCCACGTGGCCAGTCCAGAGCGTCCCCTTCCCGAGCGGTTCCCAGCTTGCCGCCCCGCGGATCGGAGCGACGCGCCATCCACGCAGGGCAAAGAGTGTCGCTGGGGCCGCCGCTGCGACACACTAAGCAACAGTTCGCGACAGTAAGCACACTGCCGAAGGTTCGATCGGACCTCCTGTGTCGGCGCCGGGCGCCCTGGCGCGTCCCGAGCGCCAGTGGGGAGGGGGCGTGTCCAGCGGCGATCCAAGAGTTCCGCGCGGACCCCCGAACGCAGGTGAGCGACGGAAGAAAACGGTATCGACGTCGCCGACATTCGTGCGTAAGTTTCCTGCTTAATGTCGCGTGCAGGAGCCCTCTTCTCCACGCCGTGTGATACGCTCGCGGCCCGCGTGAGCCGCGGCGCATGGTCGATGTGTCGTCTTGCTTGGGACCAGGTGAGACAAAGACAGAGAGAGAGAGAGAGAGACACACATACATAAAGAAGACATACACATATAGACTAGTATGGTAAACGACAGAGAAATTGACAGGAAGAGAGAGAGAGAGAGAGAATTAGAGAAAAGAGAGAGAGAGAGAGAGAATTAGAGAAAAAGAGAGAGAGAGAGAGAGAGAGAGAAACCGAGCGAGAGAGAGAGAGAGACAGAAAAAGAGCGAGAGGCTGACAGAGAGAGACAGAGAGAGAGAGAGAGACATAGAGAGAGAACTATACATATACATGAATACAGAAATAATCAATAGAGAAAGGCAGGATGAACAACAGAGAATGAGGAAGGAAGAGAGAGAGAGAGAGAGAGACACACAGAGACAGAGGCAAGGAACAAAAAGAAAGAGAGAGAGAGAGAGAGAGATAGTGTGAGAGAGAGAGAGAGAGAGCAAGACACTTCAAGAGGGGGAGAGCGAGAGAGAGAGAGGGAGAGAGAGAGAGCGAGATCGGCCAGGCGTGGAGCGGCTGCGACACTCCCCGGGAGCCCACCGACCCGTCTCCTTCTCCCTGGCGTATGGCGTATGAAGCTCCCCTCCGAGGACACCACCGACGTCCTGGACCCGAGCGCCGCGGCCCTCGAGCCGGGCCCGCGCCTGACGCGGCCCCGGGGCGCCTGCGCCGCGGTCCGGCTCCCGGATGGGCGCGTGCTCGTGGTCGGCGGGGTGTCGGGCTCCGAGCTCGGCGCACGGCCCGCCCCGCGGGAGTGGCCGCGGGAAGAGGAGGGGGAGGGGGAGGGGGAGGAGGAGGAGGAGGAGGAGGAGGAGGAGGAGGAGGAGGAGGAGGAGGAGGAGGAGGAGGAGGAGGAGGATTTTTAACAAGGCACCTTCCCAGCAGCAAAGTTTCTTCCACATATCTCCTCGACACCTCCGAAGGCCAGGACGTAGAAGCCGAGGGACAGGAAGGCGAGCGGCGGCAAGGCTGGGCTTGCACACGGCACGCATGGAGATGACGACAGTTATTGCTGTGGACACTCGGTGGACGTCGGAGGGGCCACTCCTGACGAAGAACTCCCTGCTGTCCCAAAAATCGATGGAGCTGGAGCCAGTGAGCCCACCGCTGACTCGAACTTGTCCATGATGTCCCTGGGAATCTGCAGGGGCTCGGCGGCCTCCGATCGCGCCGATCGCGCTGGCACTCTGCCAGCAATCCAGCCCGAATCCACATCCAAGCCGCCGCCAAAAACAGAACGATGCTGATCATCACGTTCGTGGAGGCCCCGCGCTTGCTCATAGAAATCCTCGCCCGCAGACGCGGCCTCGACGGTGTCGAACGGCCAAGCGGCCTCGGTGTCGGACTGCGAGTGGTCGGGCTCAGCGTCGGACAACGAGGCGATCAGCGCGTCGGACGGAAAGTCGGGCTTCGCGTCGGGCACCTCCTCGGACACCTTGGGCTCGGTGTCGGGTCTCGAAAAAGGTACTGCATGAGACAGCAGGTGTGACGCGTCGACGTACTGTTAAGCCTGCACGCCCTCAGGGCTATCTGCCGTGGGAGGGGGCGTCCCTTCGGCAGGAAACCAGCAGAAGCCACCAGCCGCCGTGGACCCGTCCTCAGTCGCGGTGTCGGCGCGGACGTCACTTCCCGTAGGAGACGTAAACCCAACACGTCCTCGAACAGCATGACGAAGCCCGTGCCGAGCAGCACCATCGGAATGAACATGAGCAGCAGGATGCGAAGGGCTTGGGGCGGGAAGCACTGTCGCCAGGTGCATCCCCGCAGCCAGGCCGTCGCGAAACGCCTGGGCCGCCACTGCCGACTCGACTGGAGGCAACTCCCAGACGCCAGGGGCCAGGGCGCGACCGCCAGGCAGTGGCCCCCCGGGCTGGCACGGCGAGGAAGCAGCCGCATCGTCCAACGCCTCCCAGTCGGCCAGCGCCTCCTTCTCCTCCAGGAACGGCCGAGCACGAGCTCCCAGCCTGGGCCCCGCCGCAGCGGCGGTGATCTCGTCGTCCGACGCCGCCGCGAAGCCCCGTGGAGGCGGGTCCGCTGCGTGCCACGCCGCATTGCGGCGACGGCGAGCACGTCCACAGACCTCCAGCCCAGCGGCAGCTCGGCGAAGGGCGGGCCTGGCCGCCCGCTCCCTGTCCTGCCAACTGCCCGGGCCGCCGCCCATCGCCTGCGTCCGCAGGAAAGCTTCGCAGGCCGCCTGCCTCCTGCGGCGCGCTGCGCGGCGGGCGGCAGCAGGGCCGAGGGCGAGGGTCTCCTCTCGGCGCTGCTGACTTGGCAGCCACTCCCTGGGGCCGCCCCCCGTAGCCACGCCGTCTGCCCGCCTCGCCGCCATCACCCGGAAATGGCTGTGGAACGAAAGCGGGGAGAAACAGCTTGAGCCAAAATGGCTACGGAGGAGGAGGGGGAGGAGGAGGAGGAGGAGGAGGAGGAGGAGGAGGAGGAGGAGGAATGGAGGAGGATGGAGGAGGAGGAGGAGGAGGAGGAGGAGGAGGAGGAGGAGGAGGAGGAGAGGAGGCGGAGGAGGAGGAGGAGGATGGGGATGAGGAGGAGGGTGGAGGCGGAGGAGGAGGAGGAGGGAATGAGGAGGAGGGGAGGGGGAGGAGGGGAGGGGTAGAGGAGGAGGAGGAGGAGGAAGAGCGAGGGGGAGGAGGAGGTAGGAGGAGGAGGAGGAGGGGGAAAGGGGGGAGGGGGAGGAGGACAAGCTAGGTGTGCTCGCGTCATATCTGACATCCTACCCCTCCCTCCCATCCCTTCCCATGGCGCAGATCCCCTCTCTACTCGCACAGTCGGATGTCGAGCAGGGCAATGATCCCGAAAGGGTACGCGATGCATTGAAGAGCACGGCATGGCATGGCGTAGAAGAGCACCGCAAAGCGTAGCATCAACCTATCATTGCATTGCATGCCGTGGTATGGCACGGAAAATGACGCCAGCGCTGCAGCGGGAGCACGGAACGAGCGGAAGCGCGGAAATGAGGCCAGCGCTGCAGCGGGAGCACGATTCGGAACGAGCGGAAGCACGGAAATGAGGCCAACGCTGCAGCGGGAGCACGATCCGGAACGAGCGGGGCCCGAAAATGAGGCCGGCGCCTCAGCGAAAGCAGCATTTTGGAACAAATGCAAGCGAAAACCCAACTCCAAGGAATCCGTTGTGTCAAAAAACAATACGCGGGGGGGGCTAACACTTTCAAGCCGTCATCAGGGGAAGAGGGAGAGTAGTATTCATATTGAGTAATTGTGGAGGGGGAGGGGGAGGGGGAGGGTGATGGGGGAGGAGGAGGGAAGAGGAGGAGGAGGAGGAGGAGGAGGAGGAGGAGGAGGAGGAGGAGGGAGGAGGAGGGGAGGAGGAGGAGGAGGAGCAGGAGGAGGTGGAGGAGGAGGAGGAGGAGGAGGAGGAGGAGGGGAAGGAGGAAGAGGGGGAGGAGCAGGAGGGGGGGGAGGAGGAGTAGGAGGAGGAGGAGGAGGAGGAGGAGGATGAGGAGGAGGAGGAGGAGGAGGAGGAGGGGGAGGAGGACAAGCTAGGTGCGCTCGCGTCATATCTGACGTCCTACCCCGCCCTCCCATCCCTTACCATGGCGCTGATTTTCTCTATCCGCGGACGCGTGTCGTAGCGGACCTGTGGCTCCGCGCGCGCGTGCGTAGTGGGTGGTGGTGCGCGTGCGTGCGTGCGTGCGTGTGTGCGTGGTGGTGGTGGTGGTGGTGGTGGTGGTGGTGGTGGTGGTGGTGGTGGTGGTGGTGGTGGTGGTGGTGGTGGTGGTGCTGGTGGTGGTGGTGGTGGTGGATGGTGGTGGTGGTGGTGGTGGTGGTGGTGGTGGTGGGTGGTGGTGGTGCGGCGCGGTGGTGGCGGGCGGATGGGCGCGCGAGAAAGAGGCCCGCGCTGGGGCGAGAACGCCATCCTGAACGACGGAGGCCAAACACCGATCCGAAAATGAGGCCCACGCTGCAGCGGGAGCACGATTCGGAACGATTCGGGAGCAGAAATGAGGCCGGCGCCTCAGCGAGAGCATCATTGTGAAAAAAAAGCAAGCGAAAACCCGTTTCCCGGGAATCCTGTGTAAAAAATGAATACGCGGGGGGCGTTCGGCCCGAAAATGACGCCGGCGCCTCAGCGAGAGTCGTTTCCCGGGATTTCCCGGGAATCCTGTGTACAAAAAAACAGTACGCGGAGGGTGCGCGGCCATCACCCGGACGCCATCAGGGGAAGAGGGAGAGTATTTTCATAATGAGTAATTGTGGAGGAGGAGGAGGAGGAGGAGAAGAGGAGAAGAGGAGAAGAGGAGGAGGAGGAGGAGAAGATGAGGAGGAGGAGGAGGAGGAGGAGGAGGAGGAGGAGGAGGAGGAGGAGGAGGAGGAGGAGGAGGGGGAGGGGAGGAGGAGGAGGAGGAGGAGGAGGAGGAGGAGGAGGAGGTAGGTCGAATCGGCGATCGAGCTGAATCGGATCGGTGGAAAGCGGCAGCCGGGCCGGGGAAAGTCGAATCGGCAGACGTCGGCAGGCCAGTGAGCCTCCATTCGGAACTCGGACCCCAGATCGGAATCCGATGCCGAATCGAATCGGAACCGGACTCCATCGAAATCGAATCGAATTCGAGTCGGAGGAATCGAAGTGAGCCCCTGGAGGGGCGCCCCCCGGGAGCGGGAGCCTCTCGACCACCGCGGCGCCCGCGTGGACGCCGCGCTGGCCGGCCACGGCCAGGTGGTGCAGGTGCCGCCTGTCCTCCTCCATGCCCTCCTCCTGTGGGTCCCGGCGTGCGCAGTGGGAGGGCCGAGGTTCGAGAGTCGGGCCTCGAGGATTCGAGAGCTCGAGACCTCGAGACTCGACCTTCGGGAACTCGAGAATTCGGTTTCCGGGCGTCCCTCGCGGCGAGGGAAGGATGGGGGGAGAACTGCGGGGCAGGGGAGGGGATGGGAGAGGGAAGGGGAAGGGCGGCGGGGAAGGGGGGGGGGGAATGGGGGAAGGGCGAGAGCAGAAGGGAAGTGGGCGGAGGGGGAGCGGACGTGGAGAGGGAGCGGGAGGGTGAGGGGGAGGGGAAAGGGAGAGAGGGAAGGGATGGGCGGAGGGGCGAGGCGGGGGGGACCCAGACCTCCTGGCGTCGTGAAAAAATCACGACGGGAGGTTTTTCGCCATTTTCGGCCTCCGACGGCCCTCCCTGGGCCTCGGGAGCGTCAAAAAACGACTCGGCATGAAAAACCGGCCCAGGGGAAAGGGTCCAGACCTCTGGGGGTCGACGTCGTGAAAAAATCACGACGTCGGGGGTCTGGGGATGGGGGTCTGAGGTAGGAGATGGGAGTTGCTCCAGGGAGTGTGTGGCGTCGAGCACGGGTAACTGCTGTTGCAGCTCGCTCTCGCCGATTTCCAGCCTCCTTTCCCGCCGCATACCACCACGAGGGCTGCTCGTGCAGCGCGAGGGAACGGGGTGCGGCGCGATCGCCGTCGGCACCGCGCATCGGACGCCCATCGTGACCGCTGCCTCGCCGCGCGTCCGTGGCAGGCCCCCCCTGCCCCAAACCCAGACCTCCTCGCGTCGTGAGACAATCACGACGGGAGGCTTTTCGCTATGTTCGGCCTCCGGGGGCCCTCCCCGGGCCTCGGGAGCGTCAAAAAACGACTCGGGATGAAAAACCGGTCCCGGGGAAGGGGTCCAGATCGCGGGAGCGTCAAAAAACGACTCGGGATGAAAAACCGGTCCCGGGGAAGGGGTCCAGACCTCTGGGGGTCGACGTCGTGAAAAAATCACG